AAATTAAAATAAATCCGAATTTGTGCCAATGTCTTGCGTTTGCGTCTGCAAAAGTAGAGCCCAGCCTCAGGGGAAAATGCCTGCAAAAGATCTATTTGGAATCCTTTTTGCATTAGTTTGCCATGCAAATATCATTTAAATTTCCTCGTCTTGTTTTTCATTATTCAAATGACGTCATTTGGGGTTGCCATGGCGGGACGCGTGGCGTGACGCCATGCGAGGCTGCCACTTGACCCCCTCCCCCCCCCGCACTGCATAACTATTGGTCGAGTTGCTTTTTGTTTCAATCGATAGATTGCTATGCCAATCGAGCGTCCGACGTGATTTGGCATTCTATATCAAACGCCGAAGCAGAAAAGAGCATTGCAAAAAAAAAAAAAAAAAAATTGTAATTGGATTTTCTTTTTTGTGTTCCTTTGATTTCTGCTCACTGAGATAAAATGAAGACTGATATCGTGCCCGATCAATTCAATATCTACAAGGAGGCCATGAAGGTGCGCCAGGAATTGGCCCTAATTGAGCTGTCCGACAGCGGCTCGGACACCGAGGACGAATTCGCCAACATGGCACCGCCAGTTAATTTGCGTTTGGTTCAGCCATTTTCTGGCGTGGTTGATGCCATTATTGAGTCCATTGCTGAACGGCAAGCCGAGGAGAATGACGGGGCTGAGCTCAAGGAGAGCGACTATGACGAGGACCCGGAGGAAGTTGCCGAAGACACCCTGGACGAGACGGAGGATGAAGATACTGAGAACGAATCCGTTCAATAAACTTCATTAAATCTCTTGGTGCCAGCACCACCACCACCACCACCACCCTGAATCGTTTTTGATCGTGTTTTCTTGTGCACCTCCTGTTGGGCTGTGGGGCAAAGCGGATTAGGTTACAGCAGACGTGGCGAGCACAATGCAACGCAAGGGTAGAGAAGTACCGACGTTTCAACCACTAAACAATGGTGTGCCATCGGTGTGCGTCATGTGGCAAGTGAACTGCCAGCTTGTAATCCTTTGCCCCAGCCCCCAGGCCCCTGCTGCCTGCTGCCTGCCGCCACTCCACCCCTATGCACTGGCTGTAGAGACGAGTACATGGTTATTGCATCATCGCTTTATTGCTCTAATGCGATTTACATTCATTTTTAATCGAGCCACTCTGGCGATTACGTTTAAGGACTGACTGGTTCGCCCTCCTTCCACCGCTCATTACGCACTTTTTGGGGGGGACCCTGCAACTAGAACGCTACATGCGCCGCCCTTGTCTGTTGTCTGTCGCGCGAGCGGGCGGCCCTTTCCATCGTTCCGTGCAAAATGCGAAAAAAAAGGTACAGTCGCCAGTGGCCCATTGGCCGCCTATCCAAAATCAAACCCCATACGCAGCCTCGACTTCGGATCGCCTAGCGTACACATAGTTCGGCTCACTTTCTCATTAAATCTACATAATTAAAAAACAAACTAAAGCTTGTACAATAAGGTTAGGTTGAGCAGCTGTCTGTTGTGTGGTCACACTGCCTGCCTTTCCATCGTTCCGTGCAAAATGTGAATGTGGGCCCATGAGACGCTGCGGGGCCATGCGGAGCTTTGCAGCCTATCAAACTCAACGCCCAAAGGCAGACTCGCATGCGGATCGCCTAACGTACTCGCTATTTGGCTTATACGTGAATGTACAAACAAGCAAAACAATGCCGCCAGTTGGCTGATCATACTGCTTGCGGCTGTCAGTGTCAAGCGGCTTTGCAACACTTCCATTCACTTCATTGTGGATACTAAAGCTTCTGTTTTAAGAATACAAAAACTTTTGAATGTTCTTTGCACAAGCCAAAAATAAGGTTGCCATCCTTGATAAGTACTAATCACTTTCTCACACCTAAAACTTGCAATATAACCCCAAAAATCGTATGTACAAAACTAGAAAATTAAAACCGCAATTTAGCGACTTAATGCACCCTCAGAATTTTAACTCGGCATCTGCAGCCTGAGATGTGTGACGTTTCATATTTATTTGAACTCATAAACTCTTCGCCACTGGAGGCACTGAGTTCACTGGCAGTCCGGAAATCTAAAAATCCGTTGCTTCAATCTGAAAATTTCGGAAAATATGGATACCTGACATCAAGGTAGTCCCTTAAAAAAACTAACAATCATTCTGTTTCCCCTTCTACATAACAAATCTGAGAACATCGTCACACAACCGGCCAACAATATTAAATTTCAATATTAAATCTTTGCACTAATATTTCTTTTGGTTGATATACGCGATCAATATGAGGACTGACTTTAAGCCGGATGCGTTCGACTTGTCGGAGGCGGTGGCCAGGCTGGAGTTCGAGATAGCCCCTATTAACATGGACGACGAGGACGACGTTGATATCTCGGACACCGATTCAGATTTCGATACATTGGACGACTTTGAGAACAGTGACATCTTCTTCACCGGCCTGCGTGATGAGCTCAATAGTGAGGACCAGGATTCCCTGGAGGACCAAGATAAGCAGCAGGACCTGGACCATGACCCGGAGAACGATTACTCTTCCGCAGATGAGACCAATGTCATATAATAAAGTCGCATCGGTACCAATCCTTCCTAGTGATCCATAACACTACTCGACAAAATCGAACTTTTTTTTTTTCCTTAAGGATCTAAACCGACTTTTTCTGATAGATATGGAGATCCTTAAAATTTTTTAAAGAATTATGGTTTTTTTTCTATGGCATTTCGATTTTAATTCGAGTAGTGTAATTTGTGCTTTGTTTTTTTTCACCGGGCTGTGGGAGCATGGCGCCTCTGAAACCGGACAAAAAAAATACCAAAAAAAAAAAAAAAGGGGGGGAAAAAAATGATAACACACTTTTGGGGGCTCTCAGAAATTGTGCTCGTGTATACTGCGTGTAATATGTATGTAGAATTGTGTTTTAGTGACATGTCACATACATCTACATGTGTATGCACAGGAGTATTAAAATTCATTTCATTTTTGTTGTCTCAAAGATCTCTTTCACTCTCACTCTCACCCCTACTCCAACTCTACTCTCTCTCTCTCTCTGTGTGTGTAATCACTATCGCGCTCTCCATCTTTTGTGTCAAGAGAGCGTGAGTGTGGGCGTGGCAGTGGGTGGGTTGGTTGGTGGTTGAATTGTGTTGTCTGATAAGCTCATGGACCGGATTGTCTTTAAAGTTTGTGGACACGCGTCTCAATCCAACCCCTGCCCAGCCCTACGCTGGTCTTGTTTATGCAACGAAACTAATTTAAAGTGCTTCACGCGGCGGTCGCTTAATCCCCCCTGCCACCCTCATCCCTGTACGTGTGTCTGTGTGTGTGTGTGTGTGTGTGTGTGTGTGATAACTTCGTTAAGTTGTTGACACGCATATGGAGGAGGGATTGGCGTGGTGTGGGCTAAATAATAATAACAATATAGTCAGTAATTAAATGACTGCGGCACGTGGCGCGAAACCCAAACCCAAACCCAAACTCGAAGCCCAACAAGTTCACAAGACGGAAACGGAGGACAAATCAATTAATTTGTTGCCACTTATTTTGAGGGATAGCAAAATGATAGATCACAAGGAAGTGGGAAAAATATAACTTGTATAAGTTTTGAGGAGCCCACAAAACCGTCAAAAGGGAACATTTTCATACCACTCAAGAGAATTGCAGGAGAGTGGAGATTGTAGCTGCGCTACTCGTTACATATGTATTGCTGCATTGTTAATGCATTGTGTTGGTAGGAGGGTGGATGGATGATCGTGTCGGCTTCGGTTCCCAAAGACAGTCGTTCCCAATAAAGTAGTCGGATGGTGCTTCAATGTGTATCGTTGTTATATTTGTGGATATCTATATATACATATGCGGAGTTTGGCACTCGGAACGCCGCTTGTATTCTTGTCGGGGGTGGAAAAAGACTGCAATAGTCGCAGTCGCACCGTACAGTGGGTAGAAGGAGACTAATTTGCCCCGAGTGGTCCAAGGCGTCACTTATGCTAGCTTATACTGTTAAGTCCCGCTCGCCAGCCGTGTGGATCGTGAGAGCTCTGTGGGAGAGCGCTAACAGAGCTGTAAAAGTAGCAGAGAGCGAAAAGCGACTGTTACGCTGGCATGTTAACAGCGCTGCTGCCCTGTTCGGGCTGCTGCCTGAACCGCATTGAATTGCACTTGCACTTCCAACTTGCATGGAATTTAATGCCCATACCCTGGGTATTGCTTGGGATTTGGGTTTATTTAAGGAATTCGATTAGAAAGTTGAGAGCTGCCAGTCAGTCCATGCATATTTGTGGCTTCATTTCATTTGGCAATTATTTGGGCAACACAAACAAAACACACACTGCAGGCATACAGAAGTGAATGTTGGATGAATACATGAATGAATGAATAAGTGAATAAATGAATGAATCTGGGTATGCAGCCGAGTGGAGGAGAGCGGAGTGGAGGTAATTCCATTTGATGGCTGCTGCTGTTGCTGCTGCTGCTGCGGCATCGTTGACATTCAACTATTTGCACAATAAATTCAAGTAAATCTTTTCACGAATTAAATTTCATTTGTTTACGACTCAATGAAAAGCCACAAAGCTTTTGCCAATGGGCTTTGTCTGTCAGTTTGAGTTGGCCTTTTCCACACACACACACACACACACACACACACGTACTCGTACTCGTACCACCCCTCACCCGCTGTGTGCATTCGTGGTACGTATCTGTATCTGTGTCTGTGGTGTCTCTCGTTGAAATACAAATTTATAGCTTGTATTTTTGGCACAATTAAGATTTGCGCACATAAACGCCCAACTTGTGCTGGCATTAAGTGCTTTGCTCGAAAACTTTTAATTGAAATAATTTGTTCAGGCCTCTGGGGAAAGACAAAAAGACAGAAAGACAGAGAGACAGAAAGACAGAGAGACAGAAAGACGGAGTAGAGTGGAGCGACAGCAGGCAGAGGCTTCATGTGCAGCACACAAAATGTTTCATTATTCTACATACATATGTACATATATATATTTTTTAATGATTGCCGAATACATTTTGACTTACACAATATTGGCTTTTGTGGCACAACAAACGATTTCAATTGCATAATCTAAGGTTGCACGGTCGAGTAGCCCCAAGGGAAGGACACTGCAAATGGCATTTACGATTCAACGAGTCCACACAAGCAGCGAGTGCCTGCGAGTAAATGCGACGAGCATATAATTGGATTGCTGATTGGATGCTTTAGACTTATTGAATAATATTGATTGAATAATGGGGTGCAGCTGTGTTGAGCAGCTGTCATCCTTCCAACGAGTGACAGTAGCGACTAGTAGATGTAGCCCTTGTCGGTGCTAAATTTGTAGCAGATGCGTTTGAAGCAAATGCGAGGTCTCACTGTGGTGGATGTGACCTCAGTGGTTGTGTCCGATCCCAGTGTAGTTGTGGTCCCACTCGTTGAGTCCCCCACCGTCGAGTTACTCGTTGTGTCACTGCTCGCTGTCGTTTCACCTGCGGGTTCACTGGGAAATGTGGTAGTGGTCTCCACGCTGGTGCCAGGAGGCGTGCCGGGCGCCACTGTGCTGGTGGCATTGTCCGCCTCCAAGTCCAGCACATTCATCAGCACATCCATGAACTTCAGTATGGAGCTGCGATCATTTTGGGTGAATATCTGAGCCGCAGAGCTGCCTGCCAGGGCGATCAAGAGCAGCATAGCAAAGTGCTGGTTCTGTGTGAAGGCTGCCATCGGACTGGATTGGATTGGGTTAGGTCTTGGCGCTTTGATCTAACTTCTAACTGGACACATTGAGGCGAGCTTTGTGCATTTATACAAGCACAATGCCGATTCGGGCCAAGTGTTTCGTATCTCTATACGGAAATCGAAGAGCCAAAAGTGCACCCAACAGCGGGCGTCACGTGCTGCAGCCAAAAAAAAGATAGCCACAAGTCTGGATTTGGCCGTAAACTGGGGCTATCTGGGTCAGCTGGGAGATGCTTCTGTTGAATCATGGAATAATGAAAGGGTCGCCATAATAAAATAACTCAACTTGAATCTTTACATGATGGATTGAATCGAAATCCGAAGTCTGTTTGAGGAAAACTTGAACTATGTTTATGCTGCAATGGCAGCAAATCAGATTCCCAATCAGATGCTTTTTTTCTGGTGTTGCTCACACACATTGCTGGCCAGCCACTAATTGCTTAGTCTTTAGCTTCGAGCTGGCGATAAGAGCCACCTGAACCAGAACCAGAGTCAGAACATGCAGAAAGAATGCTCTCAAGCAATGATATGATGTCGATCGCGGGGGCACGTTTACAGCATGCCAATGCCAATGCGGTGGCATGTGGCTATCGCTGTGCCGCCGAGGGAGATGGAACTTGCGGGTGGCGATAAGCAGCGACCATAAAAGCGTTCGGATCGTGGCGAGATCTATCAATCACCGACTAGTTCCATCAGCGTTCAGATCAAGCGTTCGAGAGTTCAGAATCCAATCGTTCAAGATGTGGCGCCTTCAGCTGTTCCTTTTGTTGTCCACCTGCTTCCTCATACCCTACGAGGCGAAGCCAACGAAGCGTTCGCCCATCGGCTCCTCCACTCCATCCTTCATCAGCACAATCGCTTCAGCCTCAGCTGAAGCTGCAACCTCCACATCCACCTCCAGCTCCAGCTCCACCTCAATGGAAACGTCGACCTCCACAGATGACATGGTAGTCAGCAGCACAGCAGCCACAGACACAGACCCAGACACAGTGGCCCAAGTGGTGCGACGAGTGACGAACATTGGACGTCTGGCCGCCAAGGATCTGGCCGATCTACTGCTGGCCAGCATGCAGGCGCGAGGCATCAAGCTGACACCCTTCCAGGAGACGACGATGAAGTCCCTGCGCAGCGACGAGTCCAAGGAGGCCCAGAGCGCAGCCGCCCAGCTGCATGTGGGCATGGATGTGATCATCGACATTCTGATTGGTGCCCAATCGGAGGCCAGCTGTGGCCACATCATCCGCGACATTGAGAAGTCGCAGGACAAGAATAGTCTGACCCTGACACTGAAGTCCTTCCTGGCCCTCTGCTCCTTCAATGGCATCGAGTGCACTGAAAACGAGGTGGTGCAGATAATCAAAAGCAGCACCGCCCAACAGAAGCGGCAGGAGAAGGCCCTGGCGCAGGACGATTTCGAGATGGCGGAGGGCACAGGTGCTCGACTCACTCGCCGTGTCGGCCATCCACTGGCCACGATTAAGGGAGAGCGCGAAACGGTCTTGACCTTCCTACAGGCGAGGAATGGAACCCAGCTGACCACGATCCTCAATACGCTGCTGCAAGTGTGCGGTGCCTCGGGCAGCGAGGCCCACAACATCATCCATAACCTGCGAGAAAGTAAGTGCAGCGAGTAACGAGTAGCTATAACGAGTAGCTCAGCGATGAACAGAACTAACCCCAGTGTTCTCTCGCTCTCTTTCAGTGGGTCCCGATGCCATTAGCCTGCTGCAGGTGAACGCCTTCAGCATGCTGATCGTCTCCCTGCTGGACAGCCTCACCAACATTTCGCAGGGCCACAAGAGTGTCTTCTGTGCAGCCACTGCCGACAGCTGGGCGGTGCGCCTCCTCGAGATGGGTGTGGCCAAGGTGGTGCTGCTCGGCCTGATGACGGCTCTCGATCGTTCCATTGTGAGTCCCCCGACCAACAGCAATATGGAGGCCCTCAACAGCCTCAATGGCGGTGGCTCGCTGCAGGACGTGAAAAGTTTGACGAGCACAAAGTCGGTGGTTACCGCAAAGCGTTCGACTCTACCAGCCGTTGGCAGCATTAATCAGCGTGAGTGAAAGATCAACACATCAAGCCCCGGGAATTCCTCATTTAAATATACTTCACTTTCTTGTGCAGAGTCGGGCCCTGTCATTGATGGCGATAGAAACTTTGTGGGAAGTCTGGTTAACGCCAACGCGCCCGTTGGTGCAGCTGTTCCGCTGCTAAGCGATGTATCCGGTGGCAGTTTGGGCAACGTCAATCAACGTAAGTGACATGATCCTCAATGTGTTCTCTCCACACTCTGTTGCTTTACATTTGTTTCTCTCCTTTTTTAATCTTTATAGAGGGTCCAACAGCATCCATTAAGGGCTCCGACAATACAGTGGCCAATGCTGTGGAGGTCAATGCTGTTGTCCAGGCGGCACTTTCTGTGCTCAGCTCCCTTACCGGACAGGCTGCTGGTGCTACAGCCGGCAGTAGTAGCCCCTCATCGGGCACCACCACTGGCACGGGGTCGACTACCACAGGCTCCAGTACATCTGGCAGCTCCACGGGACAAATCGTTGGCAACACCAATGAACGTGAGTTGGCTTGCAAAACCGCCACGGCAGTTCCATGATTAAAACTTTTCTCTATTTTCTGTCAATGCAGAGGCAGCGGACACGGTCATTGAGGGCGATGGCAACAGCAAGACGAGTCTCGTCGGTGCCAATGCTGTCGTTGGGGCAGTGGCTCCAGTTCTCACCCAAGTATCTGGCGGCGCCATTACCAATACAAATCAACGTAAGTGTTTTCATTTCCACCAAGCTTCGACTGTTCCTCCCCAATGTAATCATCACTTTCTAATGATTTCATTTGGTTGCCTTTATTTTGATATTTCCAGAGGGCCCACGCACAGTTATTAAGGGAAACAACAATACGGAGTTTACCGCGGTTGATGCCAATGTTGTGCTCGGCTTGGCCGTTTCTCTGTTGAACTCCATTACCGGTCAGGGCGCAAGTAACTCAACCGGAAGTAGTTCTTCGACTGGTTCCACTGGCACTGGCTCGAAGCTGGTTCACAGCCACTGGCTCAACGGGAACCACTGGCTCAACAGGCTCCCCTTCTTCTGGAAGCTCAACGAGTGGAAGTTCTTCTGGCACTTCTGCCAACAGCGGATTAATAGGCAACGATATTAAAAGTAAGTTTGCCCCCAAGTCTGTCTGTCTGCTCTGTCTTCTCTGTCGCTTACATTATTCTGATATTATAATTTCCTTTTCGCTCGCAGCGTCGGGAAGTTCGCTGACTGGCACAAACAATGTGCTCGGTGGTCTGCTGAATGTGGTAGCTCCGATCGGCGCCAATGTGCTCGCCCTCAACAAGATAACGGGCGCTGGCGGCTCTTCCTCCGGCTCTTCCTCCGGCTCGGGCCTCATTGGCAACCAAATTGAAAGTAAGTAGCTCACGGCGCGGAGGATTTTCCGATTGCTGAATGATCTGTCTGTTGTTGTTGTTGTTGTGCCCTTCCAGCGAGTGGCGACAAGCTCAGTGGGAGCGGCAATGTCGTCTCCAAGTTGGTCAATGCCGCTGTGCCGATTGGCCTCAATGTCTTGGCCTTGAACAGCATCACGGGCGGAGGCAGCGGCAGCGGCTCTTCTTCCTCTGGTGGGGGTGCTGGTGGACTTCTTGCGGGCAACTTTCTGACACAAAAAGGGGATATTGTCAGCGGCGACAACAACAAGCTCATAAATGTGGTGGATGTCAGTGGCAATATACTTGCCAGCATATTGGCCCTGAACAGCATTGATGGCTCCAGTTCGGGCTCCGGTTCCGGTTCCGGCGTTGGCAATTCAGTCAAGAGTGAGTGGTACAGCTTTAATCAGTCCTCAAAGACCGTGTTCTGAGGTTCCAAACTCTTGCAGGTGGACCCGGCCAGATCATTATGGGCAACAACAATGAGATCCTCAAGGTCATCGACGTGGAACCCAATGTCCTGGCCAATGTGGCCGCCTTGAATATCATCAAGGGCAGCGGCGCCGCCTGCGTGGGGAACAGAGTCAGCAGTAAGTGAATCTTGGGGAGATCCCCATCCTTAAAGGAGCCCATCCTCACACCCCACTCTCGCTCTTTCTTTCTCCTGCAGGTGGACCCAATACGGAAATTGTGGGCGATAATAATCGAATTTTTAAGCTGGTAAATTTGGATGCCAATGTGCTGGCGGATGTGGGAGTGCTGAACCAGCTCATTGGGAACGTGGCCAACGACTGCAGCGACGATACACCCACAACGCAGCCCCCAACGGAGCCGCCAACGCAGCCACCGACGCAGCCCCCCACGGAGCCCCCAACACAGCCACCGACTGGACCGCCAACTCAGCCGCCAACAGAACCACCCACATACGGACCACCCACCAATGAGCCACCCACGAATGAGCCACCCACCAATGAACCGCCCACCAATGAGCCACCCACCGTCCGCCCGACCCCGCCCAATCCCAACAACTGCTATCGGCGCTACTGCCGCAAGTGGCGCACCCGCCCCAGCTACCTTTGCTACAAGAACTGCGGCGGACCGTTCACCTACAAGCCCTAGGTCGCAACAGCACGAGTTGCACTTGTTATTCGTGGCACTGCCAGCCACCGTGCCGCTGGGCATCTACTTGATTTGTCTACTCTCTAAGCAAAACGTTGTTTAATTTATTTCAAATATACATACATGCAAAAGTTGAATCACAAATCGAAGAATATATTGAGGAATGTCAAAGAGATCGGAGAAGAATCATTAGAAGGTGCTTCAGCGAAGAGTATGCAACGAGTGCGGCAATGATTTCTCTTCGTTTAAATGTTGTGCAAGCGAGCCTCGCACGAGAACAGAAATTTAGTCGAATTCCATTGAGTTCTCACCATAATTTAATTCATTCCTTTTGAGTGGGTGAACATTCATACAGAGCTCTAGCATATTTATTTGTTCCACTTCCGCGCGTATCTCCGGGAACAGTTAATACTATGCCAGGCATCTCCAAGCAGAGCCTCTCCATGTGCCCATACCCCAAAAGCATTAAAAGTTCAGGCTGTCTGAGACCCACCCATCAAGGTGAGCGGCCAAATGCAATTACATTTCCACACAAAAACGCCCGAAAAAAGTTTAAACGAAAAGAAAAAAGTTACTGTGTATAAATAAAAGATAACATTATTAACAAACCCCCAGCCCCCAGTCGCCCGCCCGAACTCCACTGAGAAGAGCACCTCTAGCCCAAGTCAGACAAATGGTCGTCGTCGTCGTCTGCGGAAATCGGTGAATGTTCCGGATCTGCTGTGGAGAGTTGGGGGTGGGTGGGTAGCTAGCTGGAGTGACGCTGAAGAACGTGCCTCACGCCGCATGAAATCATAATGAAAGCAATAAAAGTATCTCCCAACAAAAGACCAGAAACAGAAACACAGAAGCAGAAGTAGAAGTAGAACCAGAAGCAGAAACTGAAGCAACAGCAGAGCGACAACATTGCCGGCGCTTGAGGTGCGAGTGTCTCACCTCATAATTGATGACCTAAGTAATTTGTTATGGCTATGAAACGTGAAACAAACGCAGAGCGTTGCGGCACAGCAAAATATTGAAGCAATTATAAACATTTTCAAAAACCGCCTACGGGGATGACAAACAGGAGAGGTGGTCCCCAGGTCCCCCCGGCTAGAGGGTTGCTTTTGGGTGTTTTGGGATTTGCGGTGGGGGGTTACGGCTAATGATAAGCATCGGGTGCGAGTTGGTGTTAAATATTATGCAACACCTTTGGGAGGCAGCAGGTCTCCATCACATAATGTATTAATTATTGTCCCCAAGGATAGATGCTTATTTTTATGTTGGATAATCCTCTCCTGAGGCATGAAAGACAAAAGCTAAAGCTCCTGCGAGTTAACTAAAACTGTGTACCGTATAAAATTAGACTTTGAAGCAAAGATTAAACTGGATTCAATCTATGGCTTGGCTGTAAGCTAGCCAACACTCAGCTTCACCAACACTACTATTCGTATTACCATGACACTGTCCAACACTGTGACAACCCATAGTTCGTGGCAACTGTTTCCACTCACTTGTTGCAATATTCCTTCTGCGCCTAGCCACTGTCTGTCTGTGGGGGGGGAGAGACAATCGATATTCTGCTACGAGGCATTGGGCATTGAAAATGCAACAGACTTTAGGCGCAGACATGTTTTATGTTCTTGTCAGTCACCGAAAGCGACAGGCGGCAAAGGCAGAGAAAAAGAGAGAGAGTGGGAGAGACAGCTAGACAGTGGGTGAGAGAAGTTTATAGACAGCAGCAGCAGCAGCATCGTGTTTCCATCTTACTTTCGCCGTGGCACCGCGGCTGATTTCTTTCATTCTTTCTCTGTGTTTGCTCCCCTCGCTACCGCTGCCCGCTGCTGTCTTTTATTATTGTACATAATTTGCACGTGCTACGAATATCTAAAATTTACGACCATCGTAGGAGAGCGAAAGTGCACAGGTTGTCTGTCTACGGGATGGGAAAAGGGAAATGGAAAATGGGGATGGGAATGGTATAGGTATAGGTATAGGGGGGGGTTGGTCGAGCGAGTGGGTGGCAGGCAATGTCGTGTACATTATTTTGCTTTCAGGCGTTGAAATAAAAGTAAAAGTCGCTAAGCTTTAAATGAGTTGAGTGAAAGCCACACACAGTCCAGTGGGTCGACCCATCTCTATGTCTGTGTTGTCTGCCCTGTCCCTGTTCCCTGTCCCGTGGGCAAGTACAAGCTGCCCCCCGGGGCCACCCCCCGACTGACTGACTGACTCGACTGGCTTGCTTACTTTTACACGTTTTATGTGCAAAATAAATGTGAACTAATGCATTTTTATTAATATATACAAGCGTGCTGGGAATTTCAAGCTCCCAAACAATCTCCTGCCCTACTTACCCCCCTAGCCACTGATGATGATTAAGCGCAAAAACCGCAAATGTTTTTTAAATGCAGTGCAAATGCTTTCGGGTCATGCCTTTGAGCTGCTTTCAGTTCTGGCTCTGACTCTGGTTCTGGTTCTGACTTTGGCTCTGGCTGCTGCTGCTTGGCTCTTCTGGTTCTGGCTAAGTGAGTAGTTTGCTGCTGTCGAGTCAGAATCGTGTTGAAATATTTAGCACAGGGGGCCAGTGTACGTGTGTTAACACACTGTTGCTGCCATTGTCCGATTGGATTTACTGTACAGGACAGCAGGAGAGTGCACGAAAGAGCAGCAGAGAGCACGGAAGAGCAACAGTGAGCACGAACGAACACGAGAGCGCAAGAGAGAGCACGAGACAGCAGGAAAGAGCAGGAGAGAGCACGAAAGCGCAAGAGAGAGCACGAGACAGCAGCAAACAAGCAGCAGAATGGAAGCTTTGTCACCTAGTGTGGATATGCAGGATATTTTTCCTTATTTATTTAAGCCAAGCGGCTAAGAAAGTATTTTCGACTTCTGATCCACACCGAATATCTGTATGCAAGTGTGTGTGGATCGCAGCTACATTACCCCCCTCCACGCTTAACGAATATTATAATTCACTTTGTTGACAATGGAATGAAATGAAAAAGTGGGAAGGGGAAAGGGCAAGGGAAAGAGAGCAGTGAGAGGAGATGTCAAGCTGGCACTTTGCATACTAAAAAGTACCGTACGACACAGCAAGGGGAAGGACAGACGGAAACGGAACGGAACGAAACGAAACGAGACCGAGACGGAATGAATAGGAAAAGTAAATAGCGCCGCCGCTGACGCCGCCTCTCTATTGACATTTTAGGGTTTCATTGTAAAGCAATTTAAATTATTGTGTATATTTCTATTTCTATTTCATTCAGCTTCCACATCCTCATCCTCATTTACTTGCCGCTTCTCCATCCACTTATTTTTTTTATTTCCCATGCTCCTTTCTATGTGTTCTTTGGGTGGGGGGGGATTGGGTGTGGTATGTACAGTGTGTTTTTTTTTTTTGGGGTAAGAAAACATTTTCAACTTAAGCATTCAGGACATCGTGTCCGCGACTCGTGTACCATCCATGTTCTGTGCTGCCCCGGACCTCGGCTGGATTTTATTTTGTGCAAATTTTTCAAATGTTATCCTTAATTTAGTTTATAAGTAGATGCCAGGCACGTTCCAGGCAAATGACATTTTATTTGTGGATTTTTATAGACTTTCCTTATGCGAACGCGCACTCGTTCCCTCCGCTTTCCCCCTGTTCCACCCCTCTCACACTCTCTCTCTGGGCATGTGCGTGCAGGGGGGTAGGGGGGTTTCGAAAAATAGGTCGTAATTTGTGTGTTGTTGTTGTGAGTTTTCATTTTTTCTTCTTTTCCCTTTTTCCCTTTTTTATTCTTTATTCCTTTCTGGACCACATGTGTCTTTGATGAGTCATCCAGGATATGGATGAAAATGGGGGGGGGGCCCCATTTATATCATCCCCAGGGTGATGAGCGCTCATTGTGGACTCCGACATAGATATCACATCATATCGTTTCATATCAGGGCCAGCATTTCCCAGTTCAGTTAGGAATCTTCCTAGGAGATAAAAATATGAACTTAAGCCCAAGCCCAAGTATTTCCAATTAATTGATAACTTATTTATTTATTTGTTTCAGAAAGCAGCACAAAAGATCTCTTAAATGGAACTTCAAGGATGGAGAACAGGTGGAAACTATTTATATGACACCCACACTTTGTGGTGACACTCTGAAAATAATCAATATAAATATAAATAATAATTAAACATTTTATTTTCCTCTCAGGAGCTGGCTAGGGAGTGCTACTTCCTTGGATAATGGCATGCAAGTAATTCAATTTTAAATGCATTTTCTATAAAGATAAAAACCCATGCTCCACTTACAACAATTTGAACATAATTTAGAAATATATTGATGGTCCCAAAAGGAAGGGAATTTGGTGCAGGATTTATCCATGGATCCCCGAAAGATTTTAATCGGTTAAGGCCAAGCAAGGATATGCTCTACGGAGCTACGGAGCTAAGTAAATACACAGCCTCGCATGGAGCTGATGTCCGTTCGAAGGAGATGGATATGTGCCAGCCGTGCAACTTTGCGCTCCACTATGACAGTTCTTGTGGGAATATCCTTTTGTTGGTCAGATTACGTACCGTACTCCACCCCCCCCCACACCACCCCAGCCACAACCCCACTTCCTAAGTTTTCTACCCTTGGGGGAATGGCATGGGGGCTATGCGCTCGTAGAACCGTAATGAAAAACCAGCAACAACAGCAGCAGAAATAACTGCAATAAAAGGGAAAACATTGGAAAAACACTTTGCCGCGGGAGCTGCTTTTCGTTCCGCTTTTGTGGGCTGGCTAGGGCAGGTTTGGGGGAGGGGGGAGTTGAACCGAATTGAAGGTGAGAGCTGACGTGTGTTACACAAACTTCCACACACACACACACACACGCACACATACAGTGTGGGTATGGGTGGGTACGAAAATAGAACATAAATTGCGCACAATAAAGCAAAAATTAAAAAGCGTAAACAAAAATTGCACTTGTGCTCCTCCATACCCTTCACTCGCATTCGCATTGCCATTCCCATTCCTTCGCCCACCTCTTTCGCCCTTCTTGCTGCTCTCTCTCTCTCTTGCTGGAGCACTTTTGCTTGGCAAAGATTTCGTCTTTGTTCCTTGATTGGATCATTCCATGGAGCAGACACTAGTGGTAGCTACTACGTAATACTACTCGCATCCTGGCA